ACCTGTCGTGATTTTCCTTGATTGAGTCACTTTGATGGACCGCAATGGATGTCCTTAATCATGTCAAATTTACATTGTGTTCAACACATTGTATACACGCATGCATACGTGTAGGTTAGCCGTAAATCTCTAATTCATTATCTGAATTTAGGGTTCAATTCTTTATTGGTTATTCTTCTTTAAGTTCTGTCATGTTTGCAAGGTATTTATTTACTTATATGTGGAGCGAACGAGCCAATCTCTTAAGGATACCATGTTTGCATCATAGGCACTGTCCGTACATATCATCATTAACCATGCTCTCTGGCCACAGCGTCAAATTATTGTGTGTGTTGTACTTTTATTTTGTATTCTATTTAGGGGCCTTTGATATCCAAGGGCACTTTACCCACAATTTGGTGTTTTCAGAAAGTCTAACGGCTTCAAATATACGTTTTATGAGTAAGTTGTTGGAAATTACACAACGTAAGCTCAAAGATGTTTGGGTTGAATGGAAGCCCATTTCAATTTTTCTTACGTAGATGAAATTATTTTCAGGTTGATCCAATTATTAATACTAAATCAGGCCCTAAGTGGCCTTTATGGAATAGGAAATGCAAGGAGTAGGAAGAGTGAAACAATCAATGCCATTTATTCTTACTCAGAAACCGTTTTGACATTTCCAAGGCTATGTGCAAAAGAGCGCGAAATAAAGATTACAAAATACAAGAATTATCTCGAAGTACTAGGAAACACTCGGCGGTCATTTTTGTTTTGATTGATTGATAATTTATGTTCCGCGACTGCCGGTTCCGAAGATGGGGCTTACCAATAATGTATTAGTCTATTTTTATCCCAGTCATGTCAACACTTCTATCCATTCCAAGAAGGTTCTTATTTAACAAACTTCAGAGGGCAGGCCATAGATTATTTCTCCCTACAGCATAGACAGTTAATTTTGATATTAATTTTTTATTCATTTATGTATGTTCTTTGTTTTATATTTCCATCATTATGCTCTGATTTTTTAAAAGTTTGAAATATTTTACCAAATTAAGCGTCCCATTTCAAGTTATCCTTATATTGTCGATTGTGGCAAATAGTCTAAGACTAACTCCCTGTCAAGTCTTATCTGATCACAACTGGAGTCATGCGTTCTGTCAAACAAACGGACTATTCCTTTGAACATATTCCAAAATTCCCTTACAAAGACACGCGTTAATACATCTGCTTTTCTTCCACGGGTTCCATTTATTTGACACACGCGCGTGTTGAAATGTCTTTGTTTTCATTTAAACACAACAAATTCTGTCTTAATTCTGGTCGTGAGGGACGTTTTGTTCCTGAACTGGCGTCTGGGTATTACAAAGGCAAAGCACCATGTGACCCCAGTGAGAGAGATGTCTTCGTCCTGCAAGACGACAAAACCACTCCTCCTAACTATATCACAACTAATGTGATGATTTGTGATCAAATATCCCCATAGAAGCTGTGTAATCACATGCTTTCAGGTACGTCTCGACAATTAGCAGCAATATTCGGAAAGTGTAGACAGCATAAATATTGGGACGCTATTTAGGTGTGTCTTTGTCTTTTAAAAAAATATATGAAAGTGAGGAAGTTTTTGAAATAAGATGACATGTGGGACAATAGTTTCCCTTTAAGATGAAGGGAGTTACAAAGAAGTTAAAATCAACATAAATTTTATACACAAAAATTGAGCCCGATTTTTGAAGAGTCATGTATTTCTTAATGTCGCTTTTTTCTGTCTTGAATGAATCTATACTGCAAATGAATGGGCATCCTGCAATCGCGTGCAAAGAGGAGCGTTCAATAAAATGAACTGATGTTAATCATTAACTTGTGCTTGTTATACGAGTATTCCATTAGATAAGATTAACGCGCTGAAGAGGGAAGCGGAGTTGGCATGGGCAATATTTTTTTTATATTTTTTAATTTTTTCAACTTCTCATAAACATCATTTGATGTGATTTAAGGCCCTGTTTTCTAGTAAAGAAGGATCTGTTAATCCGCTTCAATTCTTGCATCATTCTTGCTCGAACAATTTTGTTCCTGGTCGCTGGTCGCGTGTCTACATTGGGAACACTCTCAACACCTGCAGCCGCGAGCGCATGTACCAGGAAGACGTTTTTTTCATCCAAGATATTGCATAGTTTAAAACTCAACATACTGACACAAATTTGAAATAAAACTGTTCTCAATTTTTGAGCAGCGTTCGAGAAATGTGAGGGCGTTTAAAACTCAGTGGTTGGTATTTTAATACCGACCAGAGCTCTCTCTCTATCTCTCTCTCTCTCTCTCTCTCACACACACACACACACACACACATTTATTTAGTTCAGAGGAACAGTGGAGGAGAATGCAGCCGTCATGTAGTAAAACTGGTAGAATAAAATGACATCTTAGATGAAAGGTACAACAGAGCTTTTATTGTTCATAATATTTTCTATTTCCTAACTCATACAAATAAACACGTGTATGTAGGCTACATCAATACACTTCTACAAGCAAGGGCTATGCTACCTCTCTTATACAATAAAATATATCATCATTATTGGAATACAATAGATAAATATTGCAGTTTGCACTTTGACCAATTTAAATCTTCACTAAATTTAAATCTAAAATATTTATGCCATTTGTTAACAGAGAGTGATGTTTGACGAATTGGTCCTCATACAACTTGAGGTGTGACGCCAGACAAATAATAGGAGACACCTTCTCTTATTGCAGACATTACGCCATAAAAAGCCCCAGTATCCGATTAGATTGAATCATCATTTTTCATTTATGAACAAAAGCTTATTGGTTACACTGTATATGCTTTTGACAATAACGTGAGTGGATTAGTCAATTGATTAGATGGAAGCGAACAATAGGGAACCCACTCGTATTTGATTGAGGTGTTTGAGTGCAATAGGAAGCCTTGTTGTGGAGTCTACGGAATCTTTTAAAATCAAAAATGCATATTATTTCTACATGCAGCTAGAGTCCTTATAAGTAAACAAATTATGAGAAAACATATCTCACTTGCTCTTTTATCCAAGCGAAAATTCTATGTAATACATGTATAAGAACATTACGGCAACAGCTAGACTGAGAAAGTATTGCAATACTTTGAAGGGGACAGAACGCCAGTAGACACATATTTCTTTGAAGACGACACTGCTACCGTATCTCACGGTCTTCCAGAAAACGCTGGAAGACGGCCCCTAATCCATCGCAGCTACAGGTAGCTGCTGATGTTTCTAGACGTTCCGCCCCACTAAACCATACGATACACGCGGAGAGGTCTTGCTCCTTTTCTTACTACCTGTTTTCTCAATGAAGATAGATCAAAGTGTAATGTGGCTGTGTATTTCTTTTACCTTGATAAAATCACGGTATTTCCGCTGTAAATTACTCAGTTTGCCTAGCAGAAACGAAACATTTGCAGCACAGGATGTTGTGGCGGTCGTTGAATTTGTTCATTATTTGTTACACAAGCACTTAACCCGATTTGTAGCGGTTTCTTATGAAGTTATCGGGCTTGAAACGCGTCGGGATCCTCGCCGTTGTGATGTTGGCTTAGCTCTATACAACAATCTCTACATACCGTACATAGGCTAGATATTGTCGATACGTTGTATCGTACATGTACCAACAGGCATGTGAATAGCGAGGAACGTGCAACAAGGTGTGACGTCAGGGGGCTTCTTGGTCTGTAAAAAGGACTAGGTCCTATTTCACTATCTTGAATTTCTGGTGACGATCGTGCTAGCTTGATGGTTTAATGTATGATATTGGCATGATTGTTTCACTCACAAATTTAAATGTCAATTGGCTTGATGAGAACTGATGACTTTTTTCAGTTAGAACAATTTCATAAACAACATTCCGATATTTATTAGAAATGAAATATGTGTATTGTACCATTGCTGGTCAGCTACAGGTTCTCGGCCGCGGGAGACAGGTGTCAGCCGCACCAACCTGAGAGATAAAATGACCCAAGCAGTTGAGGAAATATTACTCTAAAATTGATTATCTCCTGGAATGTTACAAACAACCCCTGTAGCCTCAGATACAAGGTCATCAGCACACGGATGCCCTAAAAACTCAAGTGTCCTGTGTAACAGAAATGAATCAATACCCTCAAGATTCCCACGTTATTGACTTAACACTTTCCTGAGTTTACAAACAATACGAGTTCTCTTTACCTCAATAAATAGACCGCAGAAGGCCTGACAAAGAAGATAATTCGATGCCGTCTTACCACAGCCATGTTTACAGTTTATGCGGATTTATGTGAGAAAAATCTGATAAACAAAATTATTTTGATTCGGAGATAGGCCGCTTTCAGCACCCTGGCCCAACCCTAAATATAAACCATATACTCTATTTCTTTCATCTCTTTGGTGAGAAAAAATCCCTTACTCTTAAAAAAGTTTACTTCTGTGACCAAGTTTTTCTTTCAAGAATGTTAAGCAGTGTGTTTAGAAAACAACACTGATGACACGCGCACCAACAGCAAATCTGTCCCTTACTTTAAACTCTGTCTAAAGTTAGAACCATGTCGTCTGCGCGCAATATGCTCGCGCGTGCGCCTCGTAAAAATTGGCATGCGCGGCATGCTCTCTACGCGGAGGACTAATCTTGACCAGAAAATGATGTTTTGTTTTCATTGAGTGGTTTCCTCCGCTGTAATATAAACCACACTTTAAGCAGGGAGAAAAAGTAACACGGACCAGCACACCGTGCACCAGGCGTTAAAAAAAGATTCGGATTATGGCGTATTGTGAAAAGTAATTTTGCTAAACAAATGTGTGGCTAATTTTGTCTAAAAATAACTTTTCCTTTTATCTAACCATCCCGTTGTTGTTCGCTCCCCCTGTAATGAGTATACCACGTCAAGAGAGCTCACTTCCGAGCTATTTTCAGAGATAATCTATTCCTGTCACCTATGATGTCAAAATTAATCGTCATTCTACTACGCTCAGTGGAATATTAGCCACAGTTGAGCCACTTAGACCCAAACGGGAACATGAAAAGAGTACTCATTTGAAAGGAAATACTGCTCGGCACTGACTGAACAAGGGCTCTTTATGCAAAACATTGCCAAAAACAGAAATATCACGTGACCCACTCAAACAGCGAAAAGGGTTCGGCGATCTTCGGCTGTTTCCGTCGATGAAACATCCGGAACTATTTGTTATCCCTAATTTGTTGGTCCCCACAAACTCAGCTAGGGGTCACATACCGTGTGAAGTAAAAAACCGCCAGGAATTCCATTCATACGGGTATATAAAGCCGCGCTCTAGTAGTAGTTCATTCAGAAATCATTCAGCAGCAGAACTGAGAGGTACGACATAGTAACTGTGTGGATTACATTGAACAGCGTGTTTTACTTTCTGCGGTTATTGCTAGGGATTTTAGTTTACTAGACATTTTAAGATTTAATTTGGGTTTATTTGATGTTTGAAGTTATTGTGGCTTTTTTCCTGCCAGCCTTTTTGATAGGAATGATAAAGAACGTCGATGGAAAGAAAGGCAATGGACAGCGGTTTTTGATATCGTAAGCTACTCTATTACGAGGCGTAGCTTAAAATGAGTTAAAATGGAACTGGTATTGTTTTCATGACTCCTTAAACTAAATATTATATTTTTTACTTTTCAGACATAAATCTCAAAGATCAGAAACCCAGTTTAAAAGTCAAGTTGTGAAGAAGAGTTCGCAAGCCGTAACCATGCAGTGTGATATTGGAATGTTCCTGTCTACGCTCCTCGTGCTTGTCTTGCCGAGGTTCGTGCTCTCAGATGTGGACTACACCGGAAGACGTAAGTGCCCAATTACTGCCAATTACTATTTTTCTTTAAAACACAATTTAAACTGTCTCTGCATTTTGGGTTTTAAATAACCACTTGTTTTACCGGTGGTGCGTAAAACCGCAAAGTACTTTTTTACCTTTTTTGCTTTTTGCAACTGTGGGAGAACAAAAAGCTGAACTTGGCATTCAGAACAATGTAATTGGCGAGACAGGAAGTTCTAACCCACTCACCAACCGCCAGAACAATCATTCTAAATTATTACATGCGCGTGTTGAAGTGTTGCAATGTTCTCAACTTCCTCCCGATAATCAAAATACAGAGACAGAACACGACAGCCATTTGCAAATCTTTCAGAAAATAAAAAAAGATGGACAAAAAGATTAGTGCCAGGCACGCAATAAGACGTAGGAGTGCTCAGACAAATGCATAGAATATTTTACGTTTGGTTATTTTTCACAACCAGCTTCCTTTAAATCACCTGTCTGAGCCTTTGACTCACTTAAATCCTTTTGTTCAGAGCATGTAAGATTAATTAATTGTTTGATACGAAGCGGGAGAGAGAGTCCCGGTAGATTGGAATAAACACGCGAAGTAAATGGTTGAGTGTTTGCCCCGTGCTCAGTTGGTGGGGAATGTAATGAAAATGACATATGCTGCGGCGGAAAACAAAAAACTCAGCTGATGTGTTTGTGTAACGATCTTATTACAGCGCGTTCCCTTTCCAACCCCACTACCAGTTCTTTAACCGGCAGATTTTATTCATTAAACGTTTGACTTGAGCGCGATTATATTTTTTGTTATGTGAAATTTGACACTGATGTTGTCAATTTCGTTTTCAGGTTGTAATCTTGATACTATGTCGTACGTGTGGATGAGGGAGAGATACGAGAGGCAAAGCCCCCCAGGGCAATGTGGCATGTGCTACTGTGACGACGACAAAGTAGAAGTTTGCATGAGGTATGTATATGATTAATTTTCACTTTCGTGTACAAGACTAACCTGTACAAATTCGTCACACCTCGCAAACCGACTCATCTAATATCTCCAGCTTATTACAATAACAATCAATATCGTGACTTATAAAATGCAAACTATTTTAGGCCGCTTTATAAAAAGTCGGATAATGTAACAGAGCTCGAGGTAATTTGGTTGTCGTATGGGAATTACGTATGGGGAATTGGTCTAACCACCGCCCATCAATCATAGCAAATCTATTCAACTTAGGTCAAGTATACAATGGAACAATGTAGATTTACATGTATAGATATTAGTAATAAGGTCGGAAGTGGAGTACGCCCTTAAATGGAGGAAAACGTGTTATTTGAAATATGTGAGGTCAAGTACATAAGAAGGTGTGGACCTTTAAAAAATATGCGGTTTAGAAACTGTGGAGGGAAATTATGTAGATTGGGGTTAAAAATAGAAGTGAATGAAGTACACCGTCACTATGGAAAATAGTAAGGAAAAATGCGCAAGGTCAAGAACTTGAAGTTTTCCACTCCAAGGTTGAATTAGAAAATGTTCATCGTATGTCGGCAAAGTGGGTAATTTCAAACAGTCCTTCACAAAAGTCAGAACGGAAACGCTTTGATTTAATTTGAGCCATTTCTGCCCTTTCAACGGTCCTGCTTAAGGAAATCAAATTACCCTGTTAGGACCCAGGCTACAGCTGAATGGAATCACAGCCAATGGAATTATTTCTATTATTTGCCAAAGATTTGCCACATACATGTAGGCGTCTAGCATGAAATCAGTTTAATAAAAGTAGCGTCCCCTGCGCGTTCTCCGGTGAGCTTTTTTTAATGTTTCTGTCTAGCAACGTCAAACCCTGGGGTGCAAGACACACTACACTTCCTGTGGATATTGTTCATAATCCATGTCTCTGGCCAAGTCGACATTAAAGGGCTTCAAGCAATGGATTTACTTCACAACATGAACGCCGATGTTTCTTTAGCTGTTGTTATCGATGATCTATCGTTACAAATCTCTATTTCTCTGTGACGTCTTATTAAGATATGTCTTTGATATACCTTACACGGGCGGGCTTTGATGTACAGAAACCATTCATAAAAAAACAAGAGACCAATTTTGTTTTACGACGTTTATAAACTGATCTTTTCTTTCAAGACGCCGCTGCAGTATTAACGAAATCTCTTGGTCCCTCCTCAAGCTCTGTTACAGTGCAGTCTCATCAATCAGAGAATAACAATCTTTACATCTCACACTTTTCTGAATAGATGCACAGTTCAGATTTATCTTTTTCGTCAATTCGAGAAACCTAAATTGATGTACTTGATCTTCTGATCGTTACCCAAGACAAATGAAGTTTTACTTAACTGGTCTTTTTTTTACTTGCAGTTGTCCAAACAAACTGACTACTATGGAAGACAGAATTAACCTTTTGGAGGAGGACTGTTACCTCGCAGACGAGAATGAAATCGAGGCCTACCCAAAATGCTGCAAGGATACAAAAATCTGCAGATATGGCGAAAACAGCAAATATTTTAACGAAGAAAGATTTGAAGAAGAGAAGACGCTTTATGGCGGTACCGCTGCTATGATGAGATGGATGAGGAAAATGAAGAAACCCACCAAACCTCTTCTCCGTTACCGCTACCTGAAGAGGAAAAACGGACTCAAGCGCAGACGACCCGGGAAATTTTTCGGCGGAAAATACCCAAAGAGATATTACGCTATCAGAAGAAGTAAAATCGCTTCACTCCCATCGTTATAAACTCTATTGTTTCGTAACCCACCTAATATCTCCTATGTCTAGCTACCTCAAGGGCGATCGTCTGCTGACTACTTGTAGCAGGCACGAGACTGTAGATCTGACTGTAGAAGATTTAACTCAACATCCAGGGAAATGACTTTGAAATAAAAAACAAAGCCGGGTTGAGTGACAAGCCCTTGATTCGAACTGAAGCCGATTGTTCACGTCTGTTGACGGGGAAGACGTAACTCTCCTTTAGACAATCTTCAAATGTGGCAACTTTGGGATTTATGTGATCAGTGACACGGCTTATTTTCATTTGACCAGTGCTTGGGAAGAGACATTACCACGTAACATTGACAAACTGACTTTAGTTAAAGTTGTCCCAGTTTTCCAAGCAAAGCACTAACCTCAATGTTGTAAATCTGTATATTTTGTTCTGTAAATTTGTAAATATTTAACTTAATTTATTTTAAAATGTACATTCCATCATGCACGTGATCTGACGTATGTGCAATACACTGTACAGTATTAAGAAGCGGTAGAGCGTCTTAAATCATAGCTCTACTACCACGACATAAACTAGAGCACTCTTTGTAGAAAAACGTCTGGATTTAGTCAAATTAACGGCTGTCTAATATGTCTATTTAACTATAAATTGCTCTGTTTGCAAGGTTCGGACATATGTTAAGAAAACTAAAACAGCACAATGTATGAATGTTTTGTGAATTGATGTTGTGATTCCTGTATCGATGTGTGTGTGTGTGTGTCACTGGAGATATCGACTGAACATAAATTTTGTGATGAATAAAATCATTGAAATTTAAACTGACATCTTGGTATTTTTTCTGGATTCTTAAAAAAATATATTAAATTTATTCAAGATAAGTTATCTGTCTAATCCTCTCAAAAATTCCAAAAAGTGTTGCTTTGGATAAGATTTTTGCAAAGAAGTAACTGGTCAATCTATATAGAAATCTTGTTATACTGGAAGACACATTTCTGTAATTTATACCTGCAGAATGGCATATAAAGATTTATGCGAAATGACGGTAAAGCGTTAACGTTACACTCCTCACGAATGTAAACATCCAGCAAAAAATAAAACGTGATGGAAAAATAACAAGTCTGAGAGCACTATTTTCAGAAACAGTAGATACTTATTTGTGTAGTTTGTAAATAAATAAGCAATTCCGATTTCTATCGACATGTAAACAGATTGCGTAAATGCACCGCGTTAACTCAGTGCAGAATTTCCTTTCATTTCAGTCACATCAGTACAACTGCAACGTTATATCTGTCTTTATGACTGTAGAAAAAGGAGTGAGAGGATGTTGTGCACCACATTGGCACTCTTCGTTTACACAGATCAGTAAATAACATACCACTGAATAATCTCGCGTTTTCTCGCATTTTAGATGCTGTCATTAATGCACTTTGACGTTGATACTTAAACACAAAGACTGTGATTTAAAAATAGCTCAGCAAAACTCGGCATTTATTTCGGCAAAATATTCGCCATTAAAAGACTTCATGTTACGCTTTCATAAACGTCTATAGCATTTACGAAATCTATCCAGTGCATTTGAAATATAATACTGATTTGCCCAAGGCGACGCGCGGCATTGTGTTTGATGTGATTTTCTGTATTGTGTTGAATGTCACAGCTACTGCAATCCGTTCAGTAAAGATTTTCTCTCAGAGTCTTCATTTCGTTCTCGCTGTTGCTGAATTCTTCGTTTCAAGTCCAGTTTCTCTTCTAAATAATATCCCATCATATCCTTCCGCGAGACGATACCGACCACGCGGTTCCGGCGATCCACAACTGTCAGGTGACGTAATCCCAGTGTGCGGAACATAATATAGGTCCGATGGAGAGAGAAGCTGCTTTGAATACTGCTTGACGACTGATTGATAAATGGTGACTGAAACAAAAAAAAAAAAAGGAAATTGAATACTTTTAGTCAGACGTTTTTTTTTTCTTTTTCTTTTATATTTTGCATTTCGTTTCTTACTGTAATAAGTTTAATCTAAAGTGACCTCTCTCTCTCTCTCTCTCTCTCTCTCTCTCACACACACACACACACACACACACACACACACACACACAAACTGCGTTGATTAAAAAAAGCACATCGACTTACAATATCCATTATAACATCATCATATTCTGCAGCGAGCACGTATTTGTGAAGAATAAGGTCACGTCTTTTTAGATGGTCGAGACGATCAATAGCATTACCTAACTGAAAAAAGGAAACATTTTGATGCACACAATTGATATTGCAATACCATATTGCCATTTTAACTGACGCATTAACAATAGGTAACTGCGTTTGATTTTGCAGTCATTATGATTTCATTGTACTCGCGCACAACGCCATAATGAGTTCATTTAAACTTGTTATACATTCAATTTCAACAAAACGATATTCATCTAGGCCCTTCCTGGCTTTTTGTGTCTGTTATGTGTATACACGCTCCAACGGAAGCTGTAAGGATGTACCTACCACACTAAATGAGAGGTTTGGAATGTAATCAGCATTCGGGGACGCTCGTGGATTTATTACCATTTCCGTCAACAGCATCATCAGCTCATTCCTTCCAATAAACAACAAAATAATTGAATAATGCACAAAACTGGATAACCATCCAAAATCAGTATATATTCTGTGTAAATAATAATCTTGCTGATTCCTAATGTAACGGATTCGCTTTAAGAGGCGAGGCACTGCTAGGAGTACTATGTGTGGAGTTACATGTACTTAGTACATTTGTTAGCTGGGATAGGGCCTTCAATATATGGCGTGAAAAAGCGACTTTCAGCAATAATAATAATAATAATAATATTTAATTGCAACCAAAAGTAGGATGGTACATTTATTATTCTAAAATTCGTAGTTCTAAGAAAAACAAGCTTTTTTATTTTATATATTATCTAAAATACATTTTACATTATTCTAAAATACATAAAATACATAAAATACATTTTTTAAAATACTCTTCCATGCCGTCTTCGACAGTTTGGGCTATCGCTATTTACTACTGTTTATAAAATTTTCAGCGCACACAACATGACATCAAGGTAGTTAAATCATACATACCTTGTAATAATACCCAGAAGATGGTCCTCCTTCGAGTCCCCGTCACGTGCTACCACGGGGTATCCTCCATACGGGTTCTGCAGCACAAGTCTCGCCAAAGTTCGCACACTCTCGCGCGTCTGCAGAGTTTTCACTGGCGTTGTCATGATGTCGGCAACAGTGTGCAGTTCCAGATTTACTCTGAAATTATCATAACAGATAGGAATTGTTTAAAGTATTTTGTTTATCCTTTTCTATATAGAAGGTACATGTAATGGGATAAAGTATAAAATGGAATATCCACTAATATTTTTGGAATATCCACTAATCTTATTATGGGGGATAACAAACAGCTACGATGGAATATCTGTAGACAAGGTATAAATAATTGCCATTATTTCACAAACAAAACAATCATAAATTTTCCACTCACATTTTATTCTCGTCGTCATGGACAACCGGTTCGTCAGCGAGGAATGGAATACACTTCAACTCGAGTAAGGAGAGATAAAGGGGGTGTGTGATCATGTCGCCAACCCACTTGGCCGTCATCACAGACACCATGATAGGTAACAGAAACTGGATGTCGTTGGTGATCTCCATCTGAAACAGGGTGAACGAAAAGAATGGCTCGTGTTAAAACTGTCAAATGTTATTAACGCGGCAACTGATTTCAGATTGCTACAAGCTGTATGGTTACATTGAAGAAATTTAATTTTCTTTTTTTTTTTTTTTTTGGGGGGGGGGGAGGGGGGTAATGCCAATTAAGAGAATTATAGCTTTCCTTCAAACTATTATGTCCCTGACAAAAAGCCTTAAAGAAAGAATTCTTGTTTCAATCTCTTCAAATTTTTAATTTTTACAACCCACACTTTAAAACATCAGCTGAGTAGAAAGTTAAAACTAGTACAAAACTCGAAAACAAAACTAACACTATTTCAAACTCACCATGATAACTGTCAGTGACATGGTCAGTCGGGACACTCCCCCGAAGAAGCTTGCTGCCCCGATGAGAGCGAAGGCCCCGGGGTCGATCCACCGCCAGTAAGGGTCTGTAGGCATCTGACCGGTTATTAGGAAGAATACATCCACCATTCCTCGCCCTACGATCCTCCCGTATAACCCGCCGATAAAACTGATGAAATATATGGGAGATGAAGGATATTTTACAACGATGGCAGGTCATTGTATCATTTATTATTTCAGACAATTGATTAATTCTTATTCTTAGTCACTTTGATACATATAGCAATTTGTCAATTTTCTGTACCCGTGTTGGTCCAAGACCAACCAGTATGACTGGGTTCCCTTACTAGATCGATCTAACAGGATCGATCCATCTCCAAGGCGATTCTCGCTATAAAATAACATAAAACCATTCCATAGTTGTCTACTCACAGCATTGGAATCACCAGACCAGCCGTCACAGAGCTCCCGAGGACCCAGCAGGACAGCAGGAAATAAATGACCAACGCTGTCACCAAGGATACGTAACTAAACATCAGGTAGGTACGCCGTGAAAACAGGTTACGGACCGCGTCCTCACCGCCCAAGAATAGGATGGACGCCACTGCGGTAGACACATTAGAAATAAACTATTTTAGAAACACTTAAAATATTTCAGAATAATTCAGTTTTACTGGATTTGAATGTTCACTTTTAAAGAAATGGGGGGATGGTGAGATTAATTTTCACTTCCGTCTATGATGGACGCCCCTGTGGTTAACATATTCGAGATTTTATATAATGCACTTAATATCTTCCATAATAATTAAGTTTTTACTTTATTTGAATTTTTATTTTTAAAGTAATGAAGGGATTGTGAGATTTACTTTTTCTTCCGTCTAGATAAATAGACCGCCATGATCAATGTTATGAAATACAAATGCCGATTTAAATATTGAAAGACAATAAAATATGTTATATATAACACAAATATAGTTATATCCCCGCCCAATCCCCATTGTCCCATCCCCATAATATATTCAGTCTGCTAGGACTGTTATATATTTCTAGATACATACGTTCGTTGTATTCCCCGCTGGTCTCAGGGTGTTCGTTATGGCCCCCATGGCTCTCTGGCCCCGGACACGTGAACTGGACCGCGTGTTTACTGACCTTCCACGTGAAGTTCCCTATCACTGGACACTCGGGGCTGTAATGAAACAAACATTTGTATTTATTTATTTACAGATTTCACATTATTCTTCACTGTTAGTTATCTACAGCGTGTTCGGATGCATTTCACTACGTTACCCTAGTCTTTTGAACTGACTAAAACGATAATGAACTGCTTATAAATATTATTTGTAAAATATTCAGCTAGGCCTACACATAAAATTTATGAATATTTTTTATATAAAAAATCAACTAAAAAGCCTGATTTTTTACACATTAAAAGGATAATAGTAATATAAAAGTGTATGATGTGTGAACTATATTGTTATACTACATTCAAGTGCCTTGTGTCCAAAGATCGGGAAAGGTCTCTGGAGACCGTAGTTTCTACTTACTGAGTTCCATTGGGCAACGCTGTGGTATTCTCTGGTAGTTTGGGGCAGGAGGACGGTCGACATGGGAATAACATCGGTATAGACACAGACAGCGCTGCCAGGATTGTCTGATACAGCAAAAGAATGTCATTGAAATATTTTAGTATGAACTAACTACAAGGTTTAAACGCTAATTAAGCCAAGTGTTTTGGCACCCGTGCATTAAAAATACATTAGACCCCATTTAATATTTAACAGTAGTAAAACCTTTGACTTTCATCCATCATAAATGATCAAGAAACATATAACGACAGTAAAACCTGAACAAAACACCAACACAAACACAAAAATATGGCTCTGTCCCGATGAAACTTTTGTTATAAGGAGATCGATCCTTCACTGCGGGGACTCTCGCTGACTGCAATCAGATTACCACGTCTTCTCTTGATCAACCAGGAAGTGACGTGTAAATCTGATTGCATCAGCGAGAGTCCCCGCAGAGTTACATCGATTTACGAAGAACGATAGAGTCGTTGTGATCGAGCCCTAAAAGACACAAGATATGCTTCCCGTCAATTTCAGTATTAGAACAGCGCGGTAATATTTACCCGCTATGATATGTTTCTCATATTGGTTTATCCTATTACACCAAACAAGATTTTTGTGCCAAAAAAGTTATTTTTCACGTGTTAAAACAATAACGATGTGAAAAGATAAAAGTCAGTTTTTACGTCTGAAAATAACTTGCAATGTGGGTAAATAAATTTATATTCATTGCCAGCCTTTCAAACAAAAACAAGCATATTTTATGAATGGATTACTTACCATTACAATGACGGGCTCCAGAAACCTTGCCATTTTCTCCAGCCATCTATTGGTTATCTTAGACATGATGGCACGCCGTGCTCGGACTATCTTCAGGTTGAGGACGGTGTAGACCCCCCCTAGCAGGCCTCCCAGTGCCCCTAGCAGGGCGGAGGGAATAAACAGTATCACGTTCACGGCTATTTCTTCATGAACCTTTACGAATATAATATAAAAGGGTCTTAGTGAGAATTCTTTCACTACATTTCCACAGCTAATTTATTTCTTTGTCTGTTCAGAATAGCATTAACCGGCAGTGCACGTTTCTGTATTACCCAGCGAGAAAACGTGCGCAAAATTTATGTCACCCTTCAGCGCCTCCCCCCGATCCATGGCAGTAAGTGCTTCTACCCTACCTTTTACACGATCACAGTGAATTTTTTTTCACTACATTTTCCCAGATTCAAAAGCGGTGTACATATCTGTAATGTCCAGCTAGAAAACTAGCGCAACACTTACAACCTTCAGCAGGCCTCTAACATAGTTTTAACCCCCCCCCCCCTCCATGTCACGCGACTCGAAGTAACCACCAGATGTTCAGGAGACACAGAGGAACCGTCCAGCGCCCCTTGTTGGGCACTTCCAAGCAAGATACCGCACCAATCAAAGACGAGTATTTAGGGTCAGAGGTCAGTGACGAGTAATGAGCCAATGATATTACGCGATGACGGGTCAGGGAAAGTAAGCAGACGGTCATTCCAGAAATAGAAGTAGTCTGGACACACAACAACACAGGCGAGCAACGTATTAAAAAGTAGAAAACAGAGCGCCAAGGAAAGCGAAAATGACAGTTCACGCACGAATAAAAAGAGGTTAGCAGGATTTTAATGCTTATTCATTTGTTAATCATACTAGAAAATTGTTTTTCTAGATCTGGCATCCACGCCTTCAACTTTTTCCGGCACGATAATGTTACTACTCGTGTAACACTCGGCGGGTAAGTACCACGTGTGACGCAGTTTATCTCAGTAGCTAGACTGCTTGGACTATTTTAATTGATCAGAAAATAAAGAGATGGGGCGTTGGGTTTTTAACGCTTTAAATACACAAACCACTTCTTGTTGAACTTATCCGAGGACAAGAGATATTAGTTATTTACCAGGCATGTCTCGAGTTAACGAGGAAAAAAATACCACTTTCTGATGAACCATGCCGCCCGCCAATCGTCTTGACAGTTTTAAGGTAGATCGGTAGTAGGTACAGGTGTTACTATTGCAATGTTTTATTATGTGTGTGCGCGAGCGCCTGTTTGCACATGTACATGAAGAGACAGCTAAGCACAGATGTATGACGTAAGTTGGGGATCATCAGACAAGTAAGCAAACTGAGCCAATACACCCTGCGAATCGCAGCAGTGTCGACGTCCATATTAATGTATGGGAAATGTTTTTTTTTCCTCGAATTTGATGTTTTATAATGTTCTGCTATTAAACATTGCATTTAATTTGTTATTAAAGGAATGTCTTAGTATATAACATATTATGGGGATAAAAGGTGGTCAGACGTAAGTACAAAACACCCTGCGTATTGCAGTAGAGTCTGTACAATTGGATTCGATATTGGACTTTAATTAATCTAATCGAGTATTTTAAATGTTCTACTGATTGAAGTCGTCTTTTAGTACCCTTTGAAAAACGGCTACAGTTCATTAAATACCTGTTAGCATGAGGTCATCAGACAACAGAAAACAAAGGGAGATTCTGCATCACCCTGTGTATCATTAAAAAGGTGCATTTACGAGTAACTGTAACTCGTAAATAAACTTTTTTTATAATTTGTCACATGTACTTATTGTTCACTTACCCGAAATATAATGTATTTATCCACATCAAACAGGCCGACACTCCCCCAGTATTTGAATTCGGCAAATGCGGAGTTCAGAAAGTCGGTGGAAAATGTGGTCACCATACAGCAGAAGAAAATCATCCATGAAAGCTTCATCGTCCAGAATGAAGATACTTCTTCCAAAGCAAATAACAAGCCACCCACGGGTGCTCCAAAAGCAGACGCCACCCCGGCACCGGCTCCAGCAGAGGTAAAATTTCTCCTATAAAGGTAATCAGTTTAGCTAAAATTGTTTCTTGTAAAAATTGCATTGTATGTGTTTGTAAATGCATCACCTTTTAATTTCCAATTTTAGCTAACAATAAACGTGAGTAGACACTTTTCTAAATTGTTCATTGTTCCCTAATTTGGGGATTATTTCTAAAATCACTACTAAATACATGTAAAATCTATTGAATGGTTGCTATGGCAACAGTGGCGTGACAAAACCGTGCTGTTGGACCGTCCTGGTTACAAGTTTCATCTTCTCTTTATTTTGGATTAATTTACTACTGCCTTATTTCTAGAATTAATGAAATAAAATATTGTAAAAAATGTAAAAAAAAAAAATCTTTGTCCATCATAACTTGGGATGAGACAAAGTTTCTATGAGACAACAGTAAATTATTTCAGGATTTATTTAAGTCATTGCTACTTATTTTTGTCCATGATTTTATGCTTAACAAGTTATCGCCAACGGAAAACTAGCTCGCTATCAATGTTTATTTTTTATGTACAGACACAGATGTGTCTGTACATATAGCCATCATCTGCGTCTGTCGTCGCCGTCGTCGCTGTCGTCGCCGTCGTCGCCGTCGCCGTGCACTTTTACCGATAACACGATAAGTGGAAAACCATTTTACCTTTTGACTTGAAACTTGCAGAACTGATGAATATTCATAATA